TTAGAAGCCTTCGCTACCCTTCATCTTCGATTGGAAGCGCATGTGCTCCGAAAACATAAGCATAATCGTTGACAATTTCATGATTAAAAAGGTGGCGTGGACAACATATAAAGATAAGAATAAGAAAATGATTATTTGATTGGAAGATGGAGGTGGCGAGCCAATGACAATGCAAAAGAGAGGTCACATTTCCACATTTCAAGCTAACTTAACATGTAATTGTTAATAAGCCAGCCTTATTTATATATATATATATATATATATATATATATATATATATATATATATATATATATATATATATATATATATATATATATATTCCAACAAGTATCAACACGTTTCTAATTAATTTATTAACCAATAATAAATTAATTAATTATTTATCTCACCCTTTTAATTTTTTTCTAACTATTTTAGCTTTTGAAGGCCATTCTAAAAAACTTTGTTATTATTTTCAAAATTATACAAATTAATTACAACATTTAACATCTATTCCAACAAATATTATATATTAAAAATAATATTTATTTATACATTATAATTCAATAAAATTAAAAAGAAAATATGCATAAATTGTTTTTATAAATTAGTAAAAAACTAAAAAGACACAATTGCATATTCGGTTCATAAGAATAAAATTATCAATTTAATAAGCTTAGCAACCAAACCGTTAAAATTAACTAGATAAAGATCAAAACTTGATAAAATATCTAAAATTAAACTAATACTATACCACCAAATATTTTTAAACCAAAACCATATATATTTAAGTGATCAAACCATTTTTTGCAATTTTATAAAAATAAAACATGGATATACCGCCAAACAAATAGTTATCATTTAAAATAGTAGCAAAACCAATGTTGACAGATTTTAAAAAAAAAAAAAAAAAGGCATTTCGTATTTTTTTTCCAATATCCTGCCAAACACACAAAAAAATATTTAAAAATTAGAAAAGGACAGTGTTGACAGCAAAGCAATCTACATCCTGAATTCATCACAAAAAGTCTGTTTTGATCACACAGATCTTCACTTCCCGATATTGGAAATCGGAAAACTACAACACCAACATCCATTCTCTCTGGATTCACAAAAATGGGTCGGGTCAAGGATTTGATCCTCACTTTCTTCAACAACAGATGGCTTGTTTTTGTGGCGGCAATGTGGATTCAATCGTGCGCCGGAATCGGCTACTTGTTCGGAAGTATTTCTCCGGTGATCAAGAGTTCATTGAACTATAATCAGAAGCAGGTTGCGAGATTGGGTGTAGCTAAGGATCTCGGTGATAGTGTTGGGTTTTTGGCCGGAAGTATGTCGGAGATATTGCCGTTGTGGGCTCTGTTACTTGTTGGTGCTGTTCAGAACTTTGTTGGGTATGGTTGGGTGTGGCTCATCATCACCGGTAGAGCTCCGGTGTTGCCATTGTGGGTTGTAAGTATTATTTCTCCGATCGTCTTAATCACTAGTCAACGAGACGTGTGTCAGTGGACCACTCCGTTGATCACCTATCCAATCATGAATCATTTCCTTTTGGTTTTATCATGAAGAAGCTTAATAGTATAACTCAACCTGATTTGATTTCTGTTTTGTTTATTCGAAATTTTGTTGATCATGAGTTCGATTAAACGAATTTCTCTGGGTATGCATTCAATTGATCCATTTCGAAGTGATTTAGCTTTTGTATTCATTAATTTTCAGACAAATCAAACCGTTTTAGTGATATTGATATGTTGATACGTTGATTTGCAGATGTGCCTTCTGATATTCATCGGAACAAATGGCGAAACATACTTCAACACAGTCGCACTAGTTTCATGTGTTCAAAACTTCCCCAAAAGCCGTGGCCCAGTCGTCGGAATCCTAAAGGGATTCGCAGGTCTCGGCGGCGCAATCTTAACCCAGATATACGCGTTAGTCAAATCACCAGATAGCGCTTCCCTTATCTTCATGGTCGCCGTCGGACCTTCCATGGTGGTCATCTCCCTCATGTTCATCGTCAGACCAGTCGGAGGTCACAGACAACTCCGAACATCAGACGCATCAAGCTTCTCGTTCATCTACTGCATCTGTCTCATTCTCGCCGCTTACTTAATGGGTGTTATGCTCGTCGAAGATTTAGTCGATCTAAGCCAAACAATAGTCCAAATTTTCACCGCGATTTTGTTCGTCCTGTTAGTAGTTCCGATCGGAATTCCATTATGGTTAACCTTTTCTTCAGATCGGAGAAACCCAAACCCAAACCCAAACGAAGAATCTCTTCTACCCGAATCAGAATACAAAGAACCCGAAAGATCCGAACACGATCCAAACGAAATCATATTCAGTGAACTAGAAGACGAGAAGCCGAGAGAAGTCGATTTACTTCCGGCATCAGAACGACAAAAGAGGATCCTGCAACTACAGTCGAAGCTAGCTCAGGCAGCGGCAGAAGGAGCGGTGAGGATTAAGAGGCGAAGAGGACCACATCGAGGGGAGGATTTTGATCTGACACAAGCTTTGATCAAGGCAGATTTCTGGTTGATTTTTTGGTCGCTTCTGTTGGGATCTGGTTCAGGGTTAACAGTGATTGATAATTTAGGGCAGATGAGTGAATCTTTAGGGTATGATAACACGCATATTTTTGTCTCCATGATCAGTATTTGGAACTTCTTGGGTCGTGTTGGAGGTGGCTATTTCTCAGAGATTATTGTCAGGTATACATACAACTTATTATGTCTTTATAAAGTTATAAATACTTTTGTTTGTTTGTGTATTATAGTTTGTACTATAATTACTTTGAAAAGCTACCTCCTTATATAGTATTGTATTTTATATAGTTGATAGATTTAAAATAAAAATAAAAATGATGTAATGAGGAGAAAGGAAAGTAGGATGCTATAGTGAAGAAAATACATTAAAGTATGTTGTTGTTTTTTGTATTTGATTTCGGGTAAATACAATGACAAAAATATACTTTTATTTATCTGTTTATTATAACATTCTACTTTTGTTTTTTTTATTTTATTACAAACTAGGCTTTCTTACCTTCAATTATAGCATGATAGCGAGAAATTGTTTTTTTATTTGGATGAGATTGTTGTAGTTGGTAGATTTTTAAAAATATAATTTTGAAGAGAAGGAAATGAAAGTAGGATGATATGATAGTAAATGAATTAAAGTATGTTGAGTTTGACCTTTTTTTTTTACCTGTTTCATCTGTGAGAGTTAAAACATCAAGCCATTTTTAGGAAAATGGGTTAAATTGCCATGTCTTGTATTTGAAAATTGATTTATAATGAGAAAAATACAAGAGATAGCAACATAGTTTCATTCCTTTATTTATTTATGATACCATTCTACTTGTTTTTTTTTTCTATTGTAGCATTGGACTTTCGGTTTTTAATTTTAGTGCATCATATTTTGAAATTTTTAACAAATTATAGAATTGTACTTTCAATTTTTCTCCCATTAGAGCACTTCTTTAAAAATCTACCTAATTATAGTAGTTATAATTACTTTGTCTTCAAATTACATTTCTATAATTGAGTTGTTTCTTCAAAATACAATGTTAAGTAGGAAATGCTTTAATAAATAAATGAATAAAAGTATGTTGCTTTTACTATCATTTAACCTTTTCTTTTGCACTATTGATCCGTTAAAGATAAAACACAACCAAAATCAACAATTTTAGGAAAACCGTTAAAATTGCGATCTCTAATATTCCAAAACCTTGATAATTCTAATAATTTTTTTTTTCATTTTCCAGGGATTACGCATACCCCCGACCCGTAGCCATGGCAGTTGCCCAAGCCATAATGGCAATCGGGCATTTATTCTTCGCCATGGGTTGGCCTGGGGCAATGTACATCGGTACCCTTCTAATCGGATTAGGGTACGGGGCCCATTGGGCCATCGTACCCGCTACAGCCTCCGAATTATTTGGACTCAAAAAATTCGGAGCGCTGTACAATTTCCTAACACTAGCGAACCCTGCGGGTTCGCTAGTGTTCTCTGGTGTCATTGCCAGCTATATTTACGACTCTGAAGCCGAGAAACAAGCAGCACAGCGCCACCAACAAATTACCAATTCCACTTCTTCTTTTCTTACCAAACTTTTTGACACGGATGACGCACTCAAGTGTGAAGGCTCGGTGTGCTTCTTTTTGACATTCATGATAATGTCGGGACTTTGTATCATTGCGCTTATCTTAAGTTTGATACTTGTGCGCCGAACTAAGGTTGTCTACCAGAACCTCTACGGGAGAACCCGCGCTTAAATTTTTGGAATCGTGGGTGTGATTCTTGTTTTGTTTTGGAATTTTGGAATTTTTATTTTTGTATATTGTTGTTCAAATTTGATTGGAGTTTTGTTTTTTTTAATTTTTTTTTTAAATTCAGTTTTTCATGAATCTATTATACTTTGCTTGAAAGATACACACAATCAGTTATTTAGATAGTGTTTGGTTTGATGGAACGAAGAAGGAATTGTGGTTTATATCATCGTAGTGAAAAAGAAATGTTTGTTTGATGCAATTGTATTGGTCAACTGGATATAAATTCCTTACATTTTGTTACTTTTTTTTCCCTTAGCGTCTTTTTTGGGTTAAATGAAGAAATACCAAGTATGTCATTTTAATTAGATCATCCTTAGATTAATCAAATAACATTATATTTAAATACAACGCTATAATGGATCAACATTTGAAAGTACAAACCAATAATAAAAAAATGAAAGTAAAATGTATAATAGAAAAAGAAATAGGAAGTATATTGTAATTTTTTTTATTTTGACTTTTTTTTCATGCCAACATGGAATTTAATTAAAGATTATAACAAAAACTATTTTAATTTATATAAAGTTGAAGAAAACAAATATATATTTTTTTCAAAATTTCTTGATTTTAATTAGAAATAACAATGAACATATTTTATAATAATATTTTCTTATTATAGTCTTATTTGGTGTTATTGAGCTTTAATAATTTAATTACTTATTTATCATTTTTGTAAATAAAAAATTCATTATCATCAAATAATTTATAGAGTAAAACAAAAATTATACATTTTTAATATAAAAAATTCCTATGAGAATTCATTTAATTCTTACATCCCAATAACATGACAATATATTCCATAGTCTTGTCAATTTCATTTGTTGGCTGTTCCATTCCATCTAAACTAAAGAGGCTTTAATGCATCATAAATCTTGAAACGAACATTTGGTAAAATCTTGTCAATTAAAAGTTGTGCAATCCCTTCTTATTTCACCTTGATTACCAATTTTGACTCCAACCCTACTAAGTTTCCTCATCGCACTTATAAACGCCGCATTAAAATCATCTTGATTATTAGCAAACTTTTTAACAACTTTTCTAGATGATAAATCGGAGTAAAGAACAACATCCGATGTAAACAAACCCTTGCCTGCCATTAGATTCTTATAATAAACATTATCGAAAATGTTTGGAGTATTGGGATCCATATCTACAGTGATAGTAGAATTGGCATTTTTAGGACAAGTGGCCATCAATTGTTTTGCATAGGTTAGATTCAGTAATGGATCGACCCGTGAGTACAAACGGTTGGCAAAGCTTTTGCACCGAGAAACACCGACTGTGTGGGCCCCAGATAGAGCGATCATGTCACACTGAGAAAGGTTTTTCATTGCAAATGTTTTTTTAATTTGATTGAGACTGAAGGTTGGTTTTGGGATGTTTCCAGTGACCCGTGATGCCTTTGAAATAAGTCCGTCTCGCCGACCTAAATCCACATTGTACCGAGGTCCTCCGGCCTGCATATATAGATAGACGGACACTTTGTAATGAGTATTGCAATAATTTAAAAAAGACAGCATGAGTATAAATTTTAATTTATTTAAGTAAATGATTTAGATTATAGTTTTATTATTAAAGGTCAAATTGATTAAAGAAAAAAAAAAAAGGCTAAAGTATGTAAAAAGTAAAGGGAATTGTTATGTACTTTCATCGATTTGTTAGGTTGAAGGAAACGTTTGAGACAGGATTCAAAACAAAACCTTGTCTTTTAATGGCATGATGTTTACCACTCAATTAGCCCAAGTGAGAGGTATTATTCTTCTTAATTCTCTATTTTCTCCAAACTTTTTTAAAACATTTTTCCCAAAACTTTCTTTATAAAAATGATTTTATTAAGAAAATTTATCACTTTTTCTTTACAAACGTGTTTTAAGGTGATGGGTGTGAAGAGGAAGTTACGGTTTAAAAACTTTGCAATTCTTGTATTAGCCTTAGTTTAGAGGCGACGAAGAGTAGAAGGGTTTAAAAACTTTGCAAAACATTTAACTAAACTATACAAGTCGAGTTAAAACACCAAAGTTTGACTTAATCTCGAGCTTTTTGAAATTAATTTTTTGGCAAGAATGAATGTGTCAAAAAGTTCTAAAAGATGTTTGACATTTACAAAAAATCAAAAAGTTCAAGAAGGAATGAGTCAATCTCGAGCTTTCTACAATTAACTTTTTGGCAAGAATGAATGAGTTATTCTCAAGCTTTTTGAAATTAACTTTTTCCAATGAATCAAAAAGTTCCAAAAGATATTTGACATTTACAAAAAGCCTTTTAAAATTAACTTTTTCGTAAGAAAGAATGAGTGGTTTTTCAAAAGATAAGAAATCTTGACTTTTTTTATTTTTACATTCAAATTACCTTCAAAATCAAGAAATATTAGACAAACACTTTTTAAAAATGACTTTTAACTTTTGTTCCCTCAAAATTAAAACTCAAAATGTTCTTTTATAAAAAGAACTTTTCAACTTAATAAACAATCCCAAACACTTCCTTAATCTCTTGTAGCTGAATTCAGGATTGACTTTAACACTCTATTGTTTTATTCGAAACGTACCTCCTTTTATAAATAATGTTGTTTAATATATTATTTGTTTGTAAATTTTAAACAAGACAAAAACTGTAAAAAAAAAAATTATATATATATATATATGGTTAAAGTGAATATACCTAATAACCTTATATAAGCTTAGGTACCTAACTTCATAATACTAAATCGGTTTGTATTATATTTACATTGTAATTGCCTAAGATTTTTAAATTTCAACCCCATAACTTAATTACTTCCAAAATCTTTGGACTTTCACCAATATCTTTCTTTTACATCTTGTCTTTCTATCGAATACCACCTGATGGGATTCATATCCTACCGCTACAAATGAAAGGAAGTATGAGAAATATAATGATGAATTTCCAATTTTTTTTTGAAGTAAATCAAGTTTACGGATAAAGTTTAAGAACCTTGGATGATTGCAATGAAAATTTAATGCAAAATGACGTAGTTTGAAGAGGTTAGGTACCTAAGCTTATATAAGGTTGTTAGATATATTCACTTTACCCTATATATATATATATATATATATATATATATATATATATATATATATATATATATATATATATATATATATATATATATATGGGTTTTGATCTGAACCCCAATTTTTAGTGGTCCTTTTGAATTACTTTTTGTTGCATATTTGATCATTTCGAAATTGAAATGATTATAATACTATTAGTGTATTTATTTTCCATTTATTTTTTATTTTTTTAAAATTTAATATTTATTTATATATTTTAATAAGTAAAAAATAAGATAAGATCCACCTCTCTTATTTTTTAATTATTAAAATAAATAAATAAATATTAAATTTTAAAAGAAAATGAAAAAAATAAAAAATAAATACACCAAGGGTATTATAATTATTTTAACTTTCAAATAATGAAACTAGTTTAAAGAACCACAAAACAAAACAAAACAAAATACATACCACATACCATCTTTGCAAGTTTTGTGGTAAAACAACATACAAAATTTGCAAATTTTGTCGTAAAACATCATACACAATTTTTTTTTTTTCATAGATTAACCCTCAATTTTGCTTCTTACGTCATTATAAGCAACTGCAATAGCTTGCTGAGAATCTTTTTCCCCCAAAAAAAGCTCATGATAGTTAGAAAAAATTATTTTTCACATATAAGTTTTTTTTTTTTTTTCGAAAAACAAATCCTTTTATTTAGCAAGCCTTTGTCATGAGTTTTTTTAATAGTTTTGTAGGTTCTATCTATAGCGAAAAAAAAAAAAAATTATCTTCTGTTGCGAAGATAAAATAGCATTTTTTTATGTCAATTCTTTTAATGAAAAAGTTCCGCATAAAAACTCTACTATTATGGATACTCTTAATTTTTTACCCGGGCCACGCAATCTCGAGTGGCAATGACTAAAATGTCCGCACACGAAACAACACCAGGACAAACTGACTCAACTGCCTTTTTAGCCTTTATAACTAAATCGATTCCATCATCATCAAGCGAAAGATTATCTGACGCATTCTTCTCAGTATCTCCCTTCTTTGATTCGATCATAATGGAAGCATCACATCCCTACATTCATGAAAATTAAATAGCTTATAAAGTCCATTCAAACGAAACCTAAAGCTTTTAAAAACCGCACCTCAACAAAGCAGTCGTGGAAAAACAGACGAAGAGTGTCTGCAATAACCGCAAACTCCTGGTTGACCTTCTTGTCCACTTCCTTTTTAACTAATGTTTCTACCATTGGACATGTTTTCGCGTAGAAATTCTCGGTCAAATGACTTTTTCCGGTTTTGCCGAGAACCACCACCATTATCAAACTGTATAATACGCAACTCCGACGTGACACCTCCATCTCTCACTATAGAACACACCGGAAGAATGTAAATGATCCACTAATCAACTTTCAGTATTGGAGTATTTAAGCTTGGGGTAGTTATGATTAGGTGTTAGAGCTCAACTAATTATAGATAGTTAATGCGGTTTCCATCTCGAGGCATAATTTGGTTAAACCGATTTTGAGCGTTGATATGCACAATTACATTGATGTAGATCCAATGCATTCTGGTTTTTGCTAATGTGGAATCTAGCTTGGTATGATTTTGTTTACATAGTTTTTATTATCTTATCAATTATTATTTTTATAGCATTAAGAACCTTTTTTTTAGCTAAAATGGCAAGACACCTAAGTTGAAGTTCATTAAATTTGAAATGTCTAAATTATTTTTGGAGCACTTAATAGTAACCGCTAGTTGATTATGAAGAGTGATTTGTATAGAATAATTTTGTTATTACAATTTATGATTTAAAAGATCGTACAATTTATATATTACATAATCCTCTAAAATATAAATTATTGTATATCAAAAAATATATATAATATACAAATCATCCCCTTTGATGACAATAGATTATTAAGAAGTAACTCACAACCTTATTTTTGTTCATTCCATATATTGGTATGGTTTACCAAAAACCTGACGATGCACCAACGAATAATTACATTCAAAACGACTTGTAAAACTTCTTACTATTGTGTTAGATGTAATTACAAAATCTATGTTATGACATCAGTAATCTAACTTTTTAAATAAAAAGATTCAAATTATATGCACGTGAAATATTGGTTGATTGTTTCTAGCGGTTTCACCCCTTCTTTTTGTAACAAACTTTATTTATTTATTTATTTGACTTCAACCTAGCTCAAATAGATTCATTTTAAGTAAATTGGTCAAATTATAACAATTTAGTGTCGATCAGGATTGGAAAGTGATTCGTACACAACAAGTTTTTATCTTACACAACAATTTATGCATTATATAGTTGTATAATACAACATTATAAAACATTAATTGTTGTGTATAAACCAGTTTCCATCATGATTGCTTTTCATCTGTATAATTTTGTTATAGAAGATATTTTGAATGATTATTATTATTATTAATATTATTATTATTATTATTATTATTATTATTTTCAAATTACGTACACGCTTGGTTGTTTTTATGATATTATAATGATTTGCCCAAGTGGTACATGTGGTTAGATACTAGAAAAAAAGACTAGTCCACGGATTGTTACGACTTCACTTTCACGTGTGCCAAATTGAAAGGTCAAATAGGAAAGGGGCACACAAAACGTCTCTTCTAAATGAACCAAACATTAAAAATGTCCCTATCATATGTTTCGTCCGTTTTGTAACCTTATCCATCATAACCAAGTTATTTGTAAGAGCATTCATATAGCTTATCCGTTGATATATCTTGAAACATCTTAATATTAAGGATAAAATAAAATTTTATTTAATTAAATAAATAAATAATAGTCTAAATATACGAAATAATTAATTATAAATAAAAGGGAGAATTTCAAGTATATTAAGAGTATAGTTTTGGCTAAATTAGAAATTTGAGATGTGGGGACTAAATGTTCAAATTGCAAAAGTGGCTTTGACCTCGCTTTGATATAGTCCACTAACTATAATCCTAAGAAAAAATTACAAAAATAGTCCCTGTAGTTTGCTAAAAGTCACAAAGTCAGTTCTTATTAATTTTTTTTTATGTAAATGGTCCTTGTGGTTTGAAAAACTTGCACGGATGACCCTTTTTACTAACGCAGTTAGTATTTAGCCGTTAGAGACTGAATTCGTAAGGGTATTTTCGTCTTTTCAAGTATAAAGGGACTGAATTCGTGATACTTGGTAAACCATAGGGGTCATTTTTGTAATTGGTCTAAAAAAAATTAATGGAATGGAAGAGGATTCGAACAGTAACCTCTTCTCCTAATCCAAAATCAACCTAAGCCTTATACCACTAAGCTGCATTCAAACTTGTTTTAAAATTCCGAAACATAAGTTATATTACGTGAAATCGCAAAAAAAGATAAATAACAAAATAAATTACAGATTTTTTACATAATTATTTTTAGTAAAAAAATTGTAATTTTACTTACTGAAGAAAAAAATGAATTTTTACAACTAGTTTATATGTTTTTTAACGTATTATTTTACGTAAAATAATTTTTTTTATTTATTTAAAACTACGTTTTTGTATAATACATTATTATGTTGTTATAATCTTTTAATATACTTTTACATTATGGTAAGGTTTTTAATTGGTTTAAAGCAACACTATAAGTATTTTGTTTTTACGTAAAAACATTAAGAACATGAAAATATAACGTAAAAAAATACTTGAATATTCATCTTAAATCAACTAAATATTTTAAGATAACGTAAAAGTATATTTTATGATTTTAACAACGTAATAACGTATTATATGAAAATATATTTTTTAAATACACAAAAAACATACTTCACATAAAATAAATATATATACAAAAAAATTACGTATTTTTTAGGATTACGTTTTTATATAATATGTTATTACGTTTTTTTATGTATTTAAAAGTATATTTTCAAATTATAACAATGTCATAACATTTTATACGAAAACGTATATTTTAAATATATAAAAAAAACATATTTTTCATAAAATAAATACGTAAAAAAAATTGTTTTTCTATGTGAGAAAAAAATTGTTTTTCTACGTAAAACAAATACTTAAAATAAATTGGTCTAAAAAATATTTTTTTTACAGTATATTAAAAATATATTTTGTTTTATTATTATTATTATTATTATTATTATTATTATTATTATTATTATTATTATTATTGTAATTATATGTTTTTTTTATTTATAGATGTTAATGTAATTACGATTTTACGTAATATAAGTAAGATTTCGGAAGAATAAACCAAGTTAGTATGCAGTGGTATAAGGTTTAGGTTGATTTGGAACAAAAGATTTATGTCTTAGGTTCGAGTCCTCCTCCCATCATTTCCTAGCATTTTTATTGTTTTAAGACCATTTACAAAAATGATCCTTGTGGTTTATCAAATGTTACGAATTTAGTTCCTTTATACTTGAAAAGACGAAAATGCCCTTACCTAACGGCTGAATACTAACGGCGTTAGTAAAAAGGTCATCCATGCAAGTTTTTCAAACCACAAGGACCATTTACATCAAAAAAAATTAATAGAGACTTACTTTGTGACTTTTGGCAAACTATAAGGATCATTTTTGTAATTTTATCTTTTAGAAAGATTAGAAATCATTTAGCTTCAAAACAAAAACGAGGGCTAGATATATGATTCTTTTAGTTTGATTTTAAATCCATGAAATACAGCTGAAAATCAATTCAAAGTAATTACATACGTTTGTTCTTTTTTCTTTTTCCTCTGAATTCGGTTATAAGTTCATATATCGTTTTTTTTGCTCTGATTTCGACTATAGTGCATAAATATTTATATATCTATTCTTTGTTCTTCTGTAATTTAACAATGTTGTAATATTTTTGCTGATAAAATATGAAATCTGATAATATTGCTAAAATTATATGTTTGTTTTTTGCTTGATGAAATCTAAAAATGTGATAATGTAGATAAAATCATTTTTTTTTCTTTCTAAAATACGATAAGGTTTTGTTGATGAAGTTGTATGCTTTGTTGCTTTGTTTGATGAAATCTTGAACAAGTGGTGTCTATTAGTGGAGAAGATTTCATAACCCCACAAGCTTAAGGAGTTCATTAACATTATATTTGTTATGGATTGAACTAAAGAAATTGTAGTTTACATAGAAAGGGTATTTTGGGCAATAAGTGAAAATTAACAAAAAAAAAAAAAGAGAAATTTTTTACTTTTTAGATATGTTTTAGGTTATACATAGAGTTTAATCATGTTGTAACTTTTTTATAGTTGAAAGAATCATGAAGCTCTTGAGTTGGAGCTTTTAATTGTTTCGGGTATAATGAAGAAATGATAGTGTAATGTTTGATTTCGATTTATGTGTAATTTTCATTTATGTTTAATCTAGATTTTATATGGTGTTTGTATATTTTTTTATAATTATTTAAGAAGTTGATTCAGTTATTTTATGAACAAAAACGTAAATTCAGCAAAAAATAACACAAAAGGGTAAAATGGTTATTTTTATAATTTAGAAGTGCAATTCAAAGATTCCAACCAAACAACATTTAAAAATCCATATCTTAAAATTTCAGACCCTCTTAGAAATTCAGACATCTTAAAAATTCAGTTCTTAAAAATTCAGATCCTGCCAAACAGCCCCTTAATCATGCATTATTACTAAAGTGGAAATGATGTTTTCTTATCGATAAAAATGCTTTGTAGGTTAAGGTGATTGAAGCAGTGCGTGGAGGTTTATGTGGATTTCAGTTTGGTATTTCTTTAGTTGTTTGAAATGGACGTGGGCTCGAATTATGAAATCAATAGATGAACTCAATACCGAAGGCATCATCCCACATTCGGTTATGGTGAAAATGGTGAGAGATGGAACCTCTACTTGATTTTGGAAGGATTTTTGGGTATATTTTTTTATATGGTGTTTGTATATTTTTTTATAATTATTTAAGAAGTTGATTCAGTTATTTTATGAACAAAAACGTAAATTCAGCAAAAAATAACACAAAAGGGTAAAATGGTTATTTTTATAATTTAGAAGTGCAATTCAGAGATTCCAACCAAACAACATTTAAAAATCCATATCTTAAAATTTCAGACCCTCTTAGAAATTCAGACATCTTAAAAATTCATTTCTTAAAAATTCAGATCCTGCCAAACAGCCCCTTAATCATGCATTATTACTAAAGTGGAAATGATGTTTTCTTATCGATAAAAATGCTTTGTAGGTTAAGGTGATTGAAGCAGTGCGTGGAGGTTCATGTGGATTTCAGTTTGGTATTTCTTTAGTTGTTTGAAATGGATGTGGGCTCGAATTATGAAATCAATAGATGAACTCAATACCGAAGGCATCATCCCACATTCGGTTATGGTGAAAATGGTGAGAGATGGAACCTCTACTTGATTTTGGAAGGATTTTTGGGTAGGGGACATGGCTTTAAAGGACCGTCTCCTTCGTTTTGTGTGTGTGTGTGTGTGTGTGCGTGTGTTGAAGTTAAATAAAAATTGTTTAATTTCAGACAGATTAAATCATC